CAGTTCGCTGCTGATTTGTTCTTGTTGCATGGCGGGCGGGCTCGTTGTTCATGCGGTGGGTTTCACGCCCATCATTCTCGCCCTCTCTCGATACGTCGGACTTCGACTCTCCTTCCCAACAGTTCTTCAAGGTAAGAAGCCATATATATATATACTTATATATATATATATATATATATACGTATATATAATGTGGACATATCTCGCACTTTCGAGACATGTTACAGATTCGTTCCATATCAAGGATCTCTGTGATTTCCTATTCCCCCTGCCCTCTCACTTACCCTCTAGCCGACCCCAATTCGTATATTTTACCCCTCTCTCTCTCTCTCTCTCTCTCTCTCTCTCTCTCTCTCTCTCTCTCTCCCCCCCCCTATATCTCTTTCATCGCTTCCTTCCCTTATCTTTCTTCTATCTATCCCCTCTGTCTCTGTAGCAGTGTTCTGTCATCATCTCTCTCTCTCTCTAGCGCTCTCACAATTTCTCTCAATCACCATCCCCCTCTCTCTCTTTCTCTCTCTCTCTCTCTCTCTCTCTCTCTCTAACTCGTTCCTTTTATCGTATTATCGTAACTTTTATGGCCGCTTCATCTCGGTCTCTCTCTCACTCCCTCTCTCTATACGTTTATCTCTCTTTACTTGCAGACCTTCTTCTGCGTTGTGCTGTATGGTCTCTTCCACGCGCTGTTCTTCCTGCCCGTCATTCTCAGCTGGATCGGACCGGCCCCTTACCCGCGCGACACCGACGACAAACTGTCGCAGGAACTCGTGCGTGTCACCGACTCGGTAGGCTCCGACAACCCCGCCTTCGCAAACTCCGACTCTTTCTATCCTGCACGCACTACCGACGAGAAACCCGGCTGGGATAGCGGGAAGAAGCACGGTTTCGGTGATGATGGTGACGGCAAGAAAGACGCGCGTCTCTCTAACGGCACCCCGCACGCTAACCCACCTACGGCGCCTAACTCTCCCGCCGACGTCAGAGGGCGCTCCTGTCCCACCTGTCAGTCGCCGGCGAGCGAGGGCGCCTTCAATTGCAAATGCTCGCCGAAGAACGTGTTCTTTACGTTCGACAGCGTCGGCGAGGTTCCCATCACGCTCAGCCCTGCCGATGACGACGTCGACTTTAAGGGTCGCCTGACGATCGACGACGAAAGTCTTTCGACGCGGTTGTAGTTGCTATGGTTACTAACCCACTACGCTTGGTGTCTATTTTTTCTATCTTGTTATGATGAACTTGCCTGCTATAGATAATCAGTGGTTCTCAACCTGGGTGCGGGGGGAGGTGCATAACATGTTGGCTGGTTTCAGTTACAAATCAAATGAGCGTTTCTCCCGATTTTATACTCTGCATATTTTGTCGCTACATGCGTCATTTAACTGTACAGGTGGCTGTACTCTACGAAATGGCACTAATTGTAAGTATTGTAGTATAACTAATTAGCAATAAGAGCTGCATTAGGAACAACAGAAGCGAGAAATATGCGGAAGAACCGAAAAATGACGGCCTCCAAACAAAAGGGTTGAGAACCACTGCGTATATCTGACGAAAAAGAAATGAATGCATGCTCGTTTTCGTCACGTATGTTCGTTCAGCTATATATGCACAATGTAACCTTAGTCGCTTACCTCTGATAATACAGAAGCATGATTTCCACTGTAGTCTCTGTAGAACTGTCTATACTGCACTTCGCACCGCAAATGAAGTGGTATTGGTTTCGCGTTCGATTGTAGTGCACAGTTTTTATCAGTATTCTGCATGCCTTCGCAGTTCACACTCACTACTGCTAGGACGACAGTGTACGCGCGTGATAATTATTGATAAAAGTCCATAATTCAAGCAGTCATTATTTATATAGAAAGGAATTACGTATGTACATAAAACTATGCGTTGTTATCAAATATTCATCTCGTACGTAAGTTACATCTTCATTTTTTGCGACAAACTTTATGATTCAATGGGAGCTATTCATGCATCACGTGTCACAATATATATATATATATATAATTATATATATGATTATTTATCATTATCTATACACATATAAATACATACATATATATATATTTATTCATGAATTTATGATTAGCCATCCGTATACCGTGACATTTCCAACAGGATGGCGTCCATATAGTTGTTGTTGCTGTGTGTAGGACTGTCGCATAACCTTCACGCACGTGTCTGTGCGAACCCTGGAGGACGAAGCCAAGGCTCTGGACGACATGCGCGCCCTGGCGGATCAAACAGACTTCGGTTACATGTTCTTTTGGTCGGAAATATATGTCAACTGGTTGATGGATCAGGTAGCTATATATTTACATACGATAATGATCCGTGAACGCGAGTGTTTGCGCATAGAGTCGTGTTAGAGTGGCGAAATATGACACGTTATATATTAGATATGTAGTTTGGATTTATAGTGCATATTTCAGTATTACGTCATGAATCAGGGCATCACGTAATTATGGCAAACCTTGTAACGAAACAATACCACCACCACGCCATAAATTACAAAATTTATTATTAATAACATTAATCATAAATCGAGCCTTCCCTTATTTTAGATTATCGGAACGGTGTTAATTACGAACATGCTTCTCGCCATGGCTGCGGTATTCGTTATGACACTGCTCCTGCTCTCAGACCTGCTCACAAGCATTCTAGTGTGGACGTGCGTGTTGCTGACCATGGTAAGTCCCCAAATAGATTTAAGAAAATTAAATTAATTTAGATTTTATTTTAACAGAGTGTTTCGCCTGCGAGACGTATTATTTATGAACAACCATCCACACATTGTCCACAGCTCTGATGGACGCGGCACACATCAAAGGGATAGTACGGTAGATGACCACCAGGTGGCTGGCCGTTTTGAAGCCAAAACATTTTCTCCTCCGACATGTGCTATTTATGTAATAATGGCTTTAGTTTTTTTTTAATTTAGCAAATTTAAAAAAATTATAGTTATTGATATTTTGTAGATATAGTATTTAGTAGTAACCTATATACACATGCTTTTTGATCTGCGTGTAAAGTTTTCACTGCTTTTATTTAATTTAAGGATTAACCCTGATTTTTAATGCCCTAAAGAGCGACAATTACGATTATCTCGACTTTGTTCCACTTCTTTACTCTCTAGTGACAATGCGATTGATTATACGAGAAAGAGTTACTGAAGACCCACGATCTGTTCTGTGTGTATACACGCCATATAAAAAAACGCGTGCATATGTGTGCGTGCGTGCGATCCTCTGCGTGCGTGCGATCCTCTGCGTGCGTGCG